TTGCTATGCCAGGTCAGGACAATTAAAACATGGATTGTATTGTGACCTGTCTTACCGCTCAAGTCTAGTTCACTTGATCCCTTGGTCGTAACTAGCAGCTGCTTCTTGCAAGCAAACAGGTTCTCAACCTTCGACTGCGTCTCCTCTTAGACAAAGCTTCCAGGCCCCGATGTTCTTCCATGCATCTTGGAAAGCTGCAATCTTTGCAATGGGTTTTCTAGAGCTGTGGATCTGACGCAAAAGCTTGAGCTTGCAAGCTAGATTGTTAAGCCCCAAGACAAACACACAGTCTAGGTGCTCGATTCACCACCCAACCGTGATCACCGAACGATCCCCCTGAGTCGTCATCTCAATCCCTGAACCTAAAATTTTGTACCAACCCCTCTATTTAACACACTCTGGCTTGCAAGCTAGATTGTTAAGCCCCAAGACAAACACACAGTCTAGGTGCTCGATTCACCACCCAACCGTGATCACCGAACGATCCCCCTGAGTCGTCATCTCAATCCCTGAACCTAAAATTTTGTACCAACCCCTCTATTTAACACAGCTTAACGTGGGTTAACATGATGTTAACCCTAGGGTTTAACATTCCTCCACACGATGATCTCCAGGATCTTATCGCCACACGATGTTCGTTTTGCCACACAAAACTTAACCGCCTCACGGTGAATACCTTCGTGAAGGTATACGAGCTTGTTTTGATCATCGGGGAGTATCTTCAGGGTCGGACGCTGAGACAGAGCCACACTCCATCTCCTGAGGTTTTGAGCCAAGCTCAACCTCATTGTTATTGTCAGTAGCTTGTTCGAGAGATGGAACCAACATCGCCTGACGAAGCAGCACTTGCCTCAGCTGACTGACGTGGAAAACTGGATGCACACGAGATCCACGTGGCAAAATCAACTCATAAGCAACAGAGTTGATCCTCTTCGAAATCTCATGAGGACCTGCAAAACGGGGTGAAAGTTTATCACATTTACCTGTACTTAGAGAAGAAGTTGCCCTCGTATCGTTGATTGAGAAGATCACTCGCACATAGACTTTATCTCCCACATGAAATTCCTTAAATGTCCGATGTTCATTAGCATCCTTCATTGCTCGATCTTGAGCCTTCAATAAGTTCTGCCGACACACGGTAAGAATTTCTTGCATCTCAGCCACCAAACTTCCAGTATGAACATCAACGAACTCACGTCCAATGTCAATAGGCATTCTCGGATGCCTAGAGAACATAGCATAGAAAGGACTAACCTTAGAACTGTTGTGTACATTGTTGTTGTAGGCAAACTCCGCTAACGGCAAAGACTTATCCCACTGGCTTTGTTTGTTGCCCACAGTACACTGTAACATATCCTCCAACACTTGGTTGACTTTCTCAGTCTGACCATCAGTTTGAGGATGATCACCACTGCTCATCTTCAACTGAGTTCCAATGCCTTTAGAGAAATTCGTCCAGAACACACTGATGGATATGGAATCTCGACCACTCATGACATCCTTAGGCATACCGAACAAAGGATAAACTCGTTCAATGTAGAGCTGAGCCAAATCCTTCTTACGAACCAACAAAACTGGTGCTCCATAAAGAGACTTACTCGGCCAGATAAAACCAAGTGCAAGAAGCTCTTCGACCTGCCGTTTAACCTCCAAGAGCTCACACACGAGCTCGACTAACGACTCTGCTTCGCTCGATCCCTTAGCCTCCAGCAAAAGGAATGCCTTCTGCAGCCAACTCATGGCCTCAGCAGCAGTCTTAATCCAGAGAACTCAGGAACCTTCAGCTTCTCAAGGTTACAAGAACCATGCGACCTACGCTGACTTCTAGGGCTTTCTTTAAAGGCCTGCCACTCGCTCACCAGATCATCCATGTTCTGATGGATAACCTTGAACTCATGCACGATATCACTCGGGGTTAGGGCATGCACCTCCTCCTCAGGAACGGCATAGTCCATGTAATCAGCATCACCCTCACAGTCACTCAACTGAACACAATCCTCCTCATGCTCAGCCGAACGATACCTCGCCACCATTGAGCTTCAACTGCAAAAACAAAAACTGCTTACCTTTTTGGAGAAAAGCTTTTTGTGCTGCAGGTCGTCTCTGATACCACTGTTAAGCCCCAAGACAAACATACAGTCTACCACCCAACTGTGATCGCCGAACGATCCCCCCGAGTACCGTCTCTAGCACCGTCGTCCTCTCAATCCCTGAACCTAAAATTTTGTAAAAGCTTACCATTTTCGCTCGAGCAATCACCCTACTAAGGGACTAACCCCTCTATTTAACACCTTAACGTGGGTTAACATGATGCTAACCCTAGGGCTTAACATAGAGCAAGTTAGGGGAAGACAGAAAAAAACTGACTTTGCCCTTGGAAGCGCAAGAAAGGGCACTGCTTCCTGCCTTGCCTTGCTTGTTCCTGCCCTAATCACTTTTGCATCTAAGCCCTTGATCTCTCATCTCCAAATCAGTTCAACAAACAACTTGCATTTGCAGAAACACCATACTCAAGCTTGAACATTGAGGCCTGCATTTTGAAGCAAACCAGAACCAGTCAGTCAATTGACTCACCATAATCTAGAAACGCCCGATTTCCAGCTCTTGGCTCCAGTGCATCTGCTGCTGCTTCGAGCTGAGATCCAGGGAGATAAGATTGGAAAGCTCGTCAAGAACCCACAAAATGAACATTCTGTCAAAATCTTCGACAATATCTTGGAATGTTCCAAAAACAAAAGTTTAGAAATGACATCACAAATCAGTTATTTAGAAGTGGAGAATGAGGACTTGATCTGGAACGACTATTGCCATCCTGGCGACCTTGTAGTACCTGTGCTTCTTGACAAGCAGAGGAACTGGATGTGCACATTCTATGCAAGAAGCGGCAAGGGCAAGACAAGCCCTTGAAGCCCTTGCTTTTAAAACTTGCCCTTGAAGCTTGCCCTTGCCTTGAAGCTTGCCCCTGCCCTTGACCTTCTGGTAAGGCAAGGGCAAGCTTGCTCTTGCAAACCAAGACCAAGGCTTTGCCCTTGCATCCAAGCCCTTGCCCGAGTAAAATATGCTCAAAATAGTATATAGTATAGATATGGTTTAATAAGAACCATTGGATCAGCAAATCACAACCGTCTGCATTCTCAAAATGCTTCCACTAATCAGGACTTCATCCTGACAAAAAACTTAGGCAAAGGAAAAAACTTAACATAATTCCACACCAGTAAGTTGAGCTTAAATTCCAGCTTAAGATTTTTTCTTTAAGTACTGTTCAGAATTTTCTCTAAGTCTCCGAAGTTTAGGAAATTAAGGAAATCAGGCCTCCCTGATCCTTGAATCTGTGAACTGCTGTTACAACTATTCTTACACAGTAATTTGGGAAGCTCCAAACTCCACCCAAACTATTTCTCTCCCTATACTGGAATAGTCAGGACTCCCCAAAAATGTATTTCAGAGTCAAATTTGTCAAGGCACCAGCTCTGTCCGAAGACTAAGCTGTAGCACCTCTGGCCCAGGGGTGAGTGGAGAGTATGACCACTCTGCTAGAAATCACCCACAGCAGCCCCTCAAACACATCTTCCCTAAATCCCAGTTCAAATGCCTTTTGAAAGAAGGTACCCCTCCCTCTTTCTTGCAGACCACACAGTCAAGGCTCCCACATTTTTGCTACGTAAGTTGAGAAAGGGTTAGAGAAGGAGAGTCTAAGTTGATTGTTGTGCTGGGAGTCCCAGAAGTGCCAGGATCTGACTCCAACACTCATGATAAGAGGAATCTTGGGCCTGGTTAGTTGTTGATCAAGAGGAGACTCTTAACAACTTCTCTCTAACATATCTAACTCCTCATAACTCAGCTTGAGGTGCCATCGACTCCGTTAGACTTAGCTTTTTGAGGGCTTTGTCAGTCTGATGTACACAACTGCACAACAGGCATACAACATCTAAATGGTGGCATCAAAAAGTGTGAAAAAGATCTTCAAAATGCCATCAGTTCCGCAGCATGCTTCCAGGGATATGTTAAGAACAATCCCTTGGGCCAATGAATTGTGAAACCTCAAAACTGCAAGATACGAAATTTCTGCAATGATGAGTTTCTTAGGACTGTTACATGGAGGACTGGAAACTGACTGGAGGCATACACATCTAATATTCACCTTGAGCCACGGCTGCAAGAATTGTGGTGGGACAGCGTGCTTGCAACACTGCCACCACTGTCCTGTAAAGGCAAATTTACCTTTTAAGTGACCTTATATCCTTAAGCATATCATCTAAATTAAACTGAAGTAGAAATTTTAAACTAAGCTCCAAACTGGACTAAACTCAACGAATTGGCTAGGGTTCATGAGTGCGTGAATGAAATGGAATGCAATGCGGGGCGTTATGATCCTGTGCAGTGCACAGGCCAGAATGTAAGTGGAAGAATCTATCTTTCTTGTCAGCCGCTGTTTCTGATTCTTTCATAGTGTGATTACAGCTCAACGAGCTTAAGTGCTTGGAGGAGGGTAATGCTGCTCTTCTTCTTTCAATCAGCGGTAAGACCTCAAGCTCTCGAACAGATTCCGGGTCCTGGGGATCATCCAAGGACGCTGGGAAGATCAGCGTCCGCGGGTTGCTGGATGCGGTGAAGGAATGCAGTCACACGAGGGATTTGAAAAGAGGGCAACAGCTTCATGCTAAGGCGGTTGAACAAGGCTTAGCCTCCAATACGTATTTGTGCAGCGGCTTGATCAAAATGTACTCAAAGTGTAGAAGCGTTGCTGAGGCTCGGAAGATTTTCGACGGGATTTCCTCTCCCGATACGGTCTGTTGGAACTGCATCATTCTGGGATATGTCGACAATGGAAAGAGCGAGTTGGCTCTGGAGATTTTCGATCGTATGGGAAAATTCTGCCGCTCGGGATGCTAGGACTTATGTTCAGCTTGCGCTTCTTTAGCAGCAGAAGCTCAAGGTGGTGACTGCAGCAGATGGTTTGACAAGGGAAAAATCATTCATGCGCAGGCTTTGAAGAGGAGATGTTTCGATTCTTTCGTTGGAAACACTTTGACTGCGTTGCGGATGCGAGAACTCTAGTTGCAGCACTGACGGGCTGTGCTGCTTTGGCTGTTGAACAGAGAGGAAACTCCAGGAGATGGTTGGAAAAGGGAGAAGAAATCTATCGGCAAGCACTGGAAAAGAACTGCTCCGACAACTCCTTCGTGCAGAATGCGCTGATTGAACTTTACGCGAGGTGCGGCTCCATGGTGAAGGCTAGAAGTGTTTTTGAGAGGATGAGAAGGCCTGATGCGGTTTCATGGACGATTCTTCTGCAAGGTTACGTTGACAACAGCGAGAGTGCGCTCGCTCTGAGGCTTTTTGACGGTATGAGTTCGACAATCCCCAACGCTAGAACTTTCGTTGCTGCACCGACTGCTTGCACTTCGTTAGCAGCGAGCGCTGTGGGAAGCTGCAACTGGCTGAGAAGAGGAAAGTCGATTCATTCCCGGGCGGTGACAAGCAGCTGCTGCGACAACATTTTCGTCCAGAACACGCTGGTGGATATGTATGCCAAGCTTGGCGAAATGCAGCAGGCCCGTGACGTCTTCGACAAGATGAGCAGCCGCAGCGTGGTTTCCTGGACTGCTCTGATGCAAGGATACGTTGATAACGGGAAGAGCGAAGTCGCACTGAAACTGTTCGAAGGCATGGCCGAAGAAGCTGAAGCTCCTCCGGCTGCTAGAACTTTCGTCACTGCAATCACAGCCTGCACTGCTTTGGCAGCCGAGCAGAAACGCTTGAATCACTGGTTAGAGAAAGGCAAGCGGATTCATCTTCAGGCGGTGAGGAACAGATGCTGGGACGTTTACGTGGAGACTGCAGTGGTGAATCTCCTCGCCAAGTGCGGCAGTATGGCGGAAGCTCAAGAAGTTTTTGACAAGATGGTGAAGCGGAACGTTGTTTCATGGACGTGCTTGGTACAGGGATATGTTGACAACGGGAAGAACAAACGAGCTCCGGAGGTGGTGTGTGAGATGGATCTGAACGGGGTGACAATGAACTCTGCGACATTTGTAGCTGCACTCACGGCCTGTGGGAGTTTGATGGCTGCTGGTGAAAGAAAAGCGGAGCAAGAACAATGGATTTCACTTCAACACGCACCTTGATTCATGTATGGCTGTATATATATACAACTTCAATCAAATCGGAAATCACCAGAGATCTGATCACGATTCAGACTGTTTCTGATATGAATTGTCTTGCTTGTCGTGTTCATCATTATTCCTACACTCCCCCTTCAAGTTGAGGGTGCTTGCAACTCCAAGTTGATTCCTCAGCTTGATGAATGTGAACTCTGAAAGTGGCTTGGTTAGAAGGTCTGCCAACTGATACTGTGAAGGAATGCATTCCAGGTGAAGATCTCCAGCTGCTACATGTTCGTGAATGAAGTGATGCTGCACATCTATATGTTTTGTACAAGCATGAAACACAGGATCCTTTGACATGGCAATTGCACTTCTGCTGTCGCAATGCAGAATGGTCGCATTTGATTGCTGTTGTTGAGTTCTCCAAGTAATCGACGAAGCCAGATGATCTCCCTTACTGCTGTACTGGCAGCTACATACTCTGCTTCTGCACTGGAAATGTACTGGCAGCTACATACTCTGCTTCTGCACTGGAAAGAGCAACTGTTGTTTGCTTCTTGCTTCCCCATGAAACCGGAGCACCAGCAATTATGCAGCAAATTCTGAAGGTTGAATGTCGTGTATCCAAGTTGCCAGCCCAATCTGCATTGCAATAAGCTTGAAGAACAAGTTTGGACTAACCTGAGCATTTGTAAACCAATCCATGAGCAGCCGTTCCTTTCAAATACCTCAAAACTCTCTTCGCCATCTGCCAATGATAACAACTTGGAGATTGCATGTATCGGCTGAGGAGACCAATAGCAAAGGAGATGTCGGGGCGTGTCATGTTGGCAAGATAGAGTAGTCCTCCAACAAGCGATCGGTAGACCAAGGGCTGATCAAATAAATCATCCATCTTGCTTGTAAACTTGATGTCGGTGATGACTGGTGTAGCCACGGATTTGCAACTTGTCATGTTGAACTGGTTGAGAAGCTTCTTCATGTATTGGTGCTGTGTGAGGATGATTGTCCTGTCTGCTTCATCCCTGTCAACTTCCATCCTAACAGCTGCCACACAGCTCCTAAGTCCTTCATCACAAACCTGTTCATGAGTTTGATCTTCAAATCCTTCAAAACAGTGTCATTGTTGCTGACAATCAAACAGTCGTCCACATAAACTGCCATCACAACAGAGTGATCACCCTGCTGAAGAAGATATAGATTTCCATCGTTGTTCAACCTTTGCATAACAAGACCCGTAAGAAAAGAATCCAAACATTCATACCACTGACGGGAAGCCTACTTAAGGCCATAAAGAGCCTTGTGAAGCTTGCAGACGAGTTCAAAGCGCCGTGATCCAAAAAGCTCAAAGCCTGGGGGTTGCCGCATAAATATCTCCTCCTTCAAGTTCCCATTAAGGAAGGCTGTTTCATGCTTGTTTGCTTCACAATTGGTGAGAATGTCTCATCAAAATCCACTCCAAGAACTTGTGAATATCCTTGAGCAACAAGTCACACTGAACTGATCCATTAGGATTTTTGTGAAGCTTGAACACCCAACGTGATCTGACAACTTCAAGTCCTTCAGGAGCTTCCACCAATGGTTCTCATCAAGAGAATTCAACTCATCTTGCATTGTTGAAATCCACTTATTTGCATCAGGAGCTTGAATCGCCTACTTAAAGTTGACTGGTTCAGAAGTTATTTTTGTTGCTGCAAAAGACCACTGCTTGGTATGAGGTGCTCTGCTTGATCGTCCAAATGATGTCCACCCATAGTTCTCCACATTGAATGGTAGATCACGTGTGAGCCTATCAACTTCTCCAGTTTGTGCATGATGAGCAGCATCACCCTATTCTTCAGGAAGAAAAGATCTAGAAACTGGTGTTAGATGATCGTCTATCGAAGGAGATGAGGGATAGATGATTGTTAGATCATCGTCATCTTCATCAACGTCTTCAACACCATCCCAACTCCATTTCACGTTTTGATTTGAGCTTCCTTCTTCTTGAACGCAATCTTTATAGAGTGTTCCTTCATCAAAACGAACGTCAGTGCTTACAAAAATTTGATGATTACCAGGCTGGTACAAGCAATATCCTTTTGAATTGGAGTTGTATCCAACAAGAAAGGCCAACTTGCTTCTACTCTCCAATTTACCGAGATGCTCATCAACCCTTTTTGCAAAGCTTAAACAACCAAAACACCTGAGATGCACCACCGATTGTCTTTGACCAGTCTAAAGCTCTTCTGGGATCTTGTTGGGATTGCGAGAATGAAGGAGGAGGTTTTGAACGTGCATGTAAATGACTAAATTTTCCATTTTACTTTAGTCACTTAACCACACCTCCGACCACTTGGAGGAGTCTCATTCACAACCTCCATAAGTCCCAGTTAGGACTTGGGGCTTGCTAGCCCCGAGAATGGCATCCCTGCCACTCAACCTTTGCACTTGGTCCAAGTGCTCCACTTGTTTGATCCCATGACCGACACCCCAAGGTACCACCAACATACCAACCCGTTACGCTAGGCCATGCCCATTCACCTTGGTCACACTGGTGGTCTAACGCCACCTGCATCATAATCCCGTCTCTCAAAGACTGGGCCATCCATCCATGAGTGATCATCCCAGATCCACTCCTTAGCATCCCTAGGATGCCCGCAGATATGGGGAATAGCCTTCCCCAACATCTCTTTTCCAGTCCTACCAAGTCCCTTTTCATCCATGGCCGTGTCCGCCAACACTGCCACTGGATCGAGGCCCGCAGGCCCGACCACTAAGTCCCACTATCCTTTGGGGCTTCCTCACCATGTGACCGCATCCCTGGTCACTGCATTAGAGGCCTACTCCTCTTTCCTTTCACCATTTGGGACTTTGGGACAACATTTCGGAACACCATGGCCTTACGCAAGCCTCATGGGTACTCTCCCTGCCTTTCGCCTTTAGGTGCTCTAGCCATGGGCTTAGAACGAGGTTCCATTGAGCCACAACAGGTATCCAAGTAGGTAGTGCCACCCCCACTTGGACTGGGAGCATCGGCCAGTCGATCTCCCGGGGGAACTAGAGCCGGCTCTTGAACACTTCACCAAGCTACCCCGCTTGTCGGTCCGTGTTCACTCTAGTTTTGGACTTCCCAATGGGCAGCTCATCACCCAACACTGGGTCTGGCCTTCCTGGGCCAAACTGGCCTTTCCTGGCCAAACTGGCTCCACTGCAGTCCTCCCCCTACTATACTTTTGGAGCTCACCAAACCCCCCAGGGTCTGGGAGACGAACGCTTTGGGCTTTCACCCTCTCAGACTTGAACTCGGACTCGGACTCGGACTCGGACTTGGACTCGGACTCGGACTCGGACTCGGACTCGGGCTCGGGCTCGGTCTCGGCCTCGTCCTTGGTCTTGGTCTCGGTCCCGATCTCGGTCTCGGTCTTGGTCCCGGTCTCGGTCTCGGTCTCGACTTCGGACTCCATCTCAGGTCCATCTTGGACTCCATTTTGGGTCCATCTTGGGTCCACCTCGGACTCCACCTCGGACTCCATCTCGGACTCCATCTCGGGTCCATCTCGGACTCCATCTTGGGTCCATTTCGGACTCCATCTCGGACTCCACTTCGGACTCCAACTCGGGTCCATCTTGGACTCCACTTTGGACTCCACCTCGGACTCCATCTCGGACTCCATCTCGGGTCCATCTCGGACTCTATCTTGGGTCCATCTTGGACTCCATCTTGGGTCCATCTCGGACTCCATCTTGGACTCCACTTCGGACTCCATCTCGGGTCCATCTCGGACTCCATCTCGGGTCCATCTCGGACTCCATCTCGGGTCCATCTCGGACTCCATCTCGGACTCCATCTCGGAGTCATCTCAGACTCCATCTCGGACTCCATCTCGGACTCCATTTCGGGTCCATCTCGGGTCCACCTTGGACTCCACCTCGGACTCCACCTCATACTCCATCTCGGACTCCATCTCGGGTCCATCTCGGACTCCATCTTGGGTCCATTTCGGACTCCATCTCGGACTCCACTTCGGACTCCAACTCGGGTCCATCTTGGACTCCACTTCGGACTCCACCTCGGACTCCATCTCGGGTCCATCTCGGACTCCATCTCGGACTCCATCTCGGACTCCATTTCGGGTCCATCTCGGGTCCACCTTGGACTCCACCTCGGACTCCACCTCGGACTCCACCTCGGACTCCATCTCGGACTCCATCTCGGGTCCATCTCGGACTCCATCTCGGGTCCATCTCGGACTCCATCTTGGGTCCATTTCGGACTCCATCTCGAACTCCACTTCGGACTCCAACTCGGGTCCATTTTGGACTCCACTTCGGACTCCAGCTCGGACTCCATCTCGGGTTCCATCTCGGGTCCATCTCGGACTCCATCTTGGGTCCATCTCGGACTCCATCTCGGACTCCACTTTGGATTCCAACTCGGGTCCATCTTGGACTCCACTTTGGACTCCACTTCGGACCCCAACTCAGGTCCATCTCAGACACTTCCACATGTCATGTGTTGGTCCTTTTGGGTCCCTTTTTGGAGCCTCGCTTATGGCTCGCTTCGTGCTCGTTCCTCGAGCACTTCATTGAGAGTTCCACTCCCACTCTCGACCTTTTCAAGTCAGAGCTTTTAGTCCAAACGTGTTACGCTCGTTTGGCTTTCGCTTCGGCCACTACCACATGGCACCCTTTCGGCTCCACTTTGGGGCCTAGGGATTTTGTGTCTCACAACTCCACCACCCATAGACAAAGTTCAATGTCCTCATCAAACGGTAACCCTTTCATAAAGTAACACCCACACGTTTTACCATTTCCATCCTTGGCATCCAGCCAATATTTGTCTATGGTTTGACACCAAAGGCTCACCATGCCTTGTCCATCCTCTAAGGAGCATAGCCTCTCCTACTTAGAGGCTCATTTGACCATTTGTGGCAGTTCTCTCATTTTATTGGTTTAGTTCTCACTAAACTTGTTGGAGGCACCTTCTCCCACTACTCATTCTCGAGTGGTCTCATTTTCCATCGGTATAACCCTTGCAC